AATTCAGGTATGTGATTATCGAAAAACTTACCCTTTTCCCCTTTACCACAAAAAAAAGACACTCAAATAATGAACCACTTGGAGGTACGCAGGAAGCACGCTATCATAGTGAAAGTTACAGGTAAAATGGATGTCGCCTCAGGCCGGCTTGCTATTATCCCATTGGTCGCTCGAGGTCCGTCGCCGAAAACATTTAATGAATATTTTCTAAATATTTGAGATTTAATATTTTCCATTGATTGGAAAGTAAATATTTAATGAATATTATAAAAGAAATATTGTATTTAAGATATCTAGAAGACATTGAATAAATACAGTGTGAGTCTTCATAAAGTGCACATATCAAAATCAGGGAAACTACACTCTATTTCATCGACGGATAAATCATCAAAAAAACATGAATTTGATTTTTTATGAATGTATGAATATTTTAAAATTTTTAGTAGCAGCTTCTAACCATATTGAAATAACTCGTTACAACTTTTAAACTAAATGTCCTATCATATTGAAATACATTTTGTAGTGATTGCTGGTAAAAGGACGTGCCTGAAAAGTGAAGAATTCCAGGAAAAGTAATGACATCCATTTAGAATAAAGAAAATTTTGATGAGAATCTGTGTTTTTTTCATCATTTTTACAATAATTTCAAATTTTCTATACATATCGTCCCTTGTACCCTACCTTTTTTTTATTTTTAAGTTATTCTACATGTTATCAGCTTTATAAAAGTAAAAATGGCACGTTTATTAATCAAATGTAACAGTTTCTATGAGTGTTTATAAAAAAGCCCATGCGCATCGTCTTGCTAGGCACCATTGTTTATCATGTAGATACCTTTTTTTGGTGATTCAATGTAGAGCCGCGCGGGCTGAAGAACGAGTGGGGAGGCGGGCCCAGTTGAAAAACAATTGAATGTTGGGCAGTTAGGCAGCTATTTGTGTTTCTCCTGCCAACTTTATCAGTTTCGTTTGCTACATATCACGCTTTCGCTTTTTGGTCGCGTTGCCACGTATAAGTGATTTCCCTCCGGCACACATTGCCGATATCCATTATTATTATGGAATGTACCGAGGGAGTGCTAGAGCTGCTTGCACAGCTTATCTAGCTGCATTTCCAAATCGACGCCCTGTTCCATCAGCCTGTAACTTCCAAGAAGTACATAGAAGACTGGCTAACACTGGACTTGTTTTGCCTCGAGATCGCCGCGAACCAGGTGTTATTATTCATGTTGCTATCGAAGAAGCCATTTTGGATGACTTGTTTGCTGACCCGACTACTAGTACGAGACGTTTGGCGTTACGTCATGGCGTATCCCAGAAATCGGTTTGGCGCATCTTGAGGAAAGCAGGGTTGCATCCATACCATTATCAAAGGGTGCAGCACTTGCATGAAGATGTGGATTGGCGTCCAAGGTGCGTTATGTCTACATGGATTTTAATAAAAACAAGAGACAATCCTGAATTCCCGAAAACAATTCTGTGGACAGATGAATCTCAATTCACGAGAGACGGCATCGTGAACTGTCGTAATGTACATAAGTGGTGCCCAAAAGATGAAAACTCTAGGCTGAAAAGGGCTTCAACATTTCAAATGAAATTTTCTGTAAATGTGTGGGCCGCACTGATTGATGACTTTTTGATTGGTCCAATAATACTCCCGAGGACATTAAACGGAGAGAGATTTCTTTTGCGGACTGAACTGACCTTGCTGTTGGAAGAAGTGCCGCTGCAAACCCGTCGAAGAATGATGCTTCAAATGGATGGATGTCCTGCCCATTATTCTCTGATTGTCAGGTCTTTTCTTATTGAAAATTATCCAGGCCGGTCGTCAAGAACCTGTTGGGTGGCCGGCGCGTTCCCCAGATCTCACACCTCTCGACTATTTTTTATGGGGGACAATGAAACAAAGGGTGCACAGCAGTTACATAAACAGCGAAGCGGAACTTGAAGAAAGAGTTTTGCGTGTTGCAAACAAAATCAAAAATGATCCCGAGATGATTCGTAGGGCAACTCATCAAATTTCACTTCGCGCTACAATGTGTTTACAGCAACGGGGTGGCCATTTTGAACATTTGATGCATTAAGTCAAAATGATTATCCTATAGACAAGTCTATTAGATTTTATTTGTTAAAGATAATGAATGATTCATGTAGGTTAATACTGTTGTTTTATTCCTACTCTGGCGTTGAACTGAGTTCACTGCTTTTTGAAACGCTGATTTAAAAACTTGTATCTAAGTAATAAACTTACGATTTTTCACCATTAGGAAGCTAATAACATGTAGAATAACTTAACATTTAAAAAAGGTAGGGTAAATAGGACATTTTTTATTGAAATGTAGCAATTGTTTTAAAAATTATTGAAAAAATAGTGAGTTTCAGCATATTCCTCTTTATTTTAAATTTATAGCATTTAATTTCGTGGAAATTTTCACTTTACTGGTACGGCCTATTATTTGCAATGACTACAAAATTTATTCCAATATGATAGGACATTCAGTTTAAAAGTTGTAACGATTTATTTAAATAGGGTTAGCAGCTGAATCAATTATTGTTTTTAATTTTTTTTTTGATAATTTTTCCGTCAATAAAATAAGGTGTAGTTTCCTTCATTTTGCTATGTGCACTTTATGAAGACTCACACTGTACATATTTAATAAAAATATTATACGAGTATTACAAATATTTATTAAATATTTGTTTAAGAGAACAAATATTTACCTAAGATAAAAATATTATTAAATATTAAATAAGTATTTAATGAATATTTCGTGCTATCGGGGTTTGCGGGTTGCCTAAACTTCATGACACTTGAGTTATATGGCTTAGCTCTGATGTGATGCAGCATCTTCTTCATAAATGACACTAGTAGAGGCTATTTATAGCTTCTATGGCATAACCTATAAATTCAGTACTGTAGGTCATTGTGTGTGGTTAAAGCGAGTACGCCTACCGTGTACTAGCGACTAGCTGTAGTTAGTTAGTTAGTTTTATTGAGTTTCAATGACATTATATCGATTTTTTAAGTAATACACCTGCCGAACTCTGAGGGATCTGGACGACGCTATCATTGAATCAGTTTGACGTGGATACGAGAACCTAAGCTAAGTCTCAAGCTACTGAAATTAAAAGAATTGACAACCGAGAATTTCGTTCCAAGGCATGATTTCCTTTACCAAGATCACTAGGCTCTAAGCGAAGGCAACTTTTTTCAATGTCAGAACCTATTTGAAAGAATCAATGTTTGAAACAATCAAGTTTTATTTTTAACGTATTCTAATTTTACTGGTTATTTTAAGGCATTGGCAAAAGCGGGTTCAGGGGCAAAAAACCTTTGGGAATTTGTAGTCGTTCTTGTATTACCTCCTTGAAGTTAAATATACTCTGAGAATCAATATTTGATAGAAAAGTGTTTGAATTTATACCCTATTCAAACCTCATTTACTCCACGTCAAAACAAACATGGGCACCCGATCGTCGCTTCACCTCGCTTGTTGCTGCCTACCCAGGCATTTCTGGTCCGCTGGCCGATAAGAGCGCGTCAATTTGATTATCGCCCGCTGGTGTTTGTTTTGACGGGAAGTGAATCAGATATGAATCCATAATACAGTAATGTCCGCTTATAACGAACCTCAAGGGACCGGCGAAACTGGTTCGCTATAAGCGAAGTTCGTAATAAACGATAAATAATGCTAATAGCAGAAAATATTTTTCATTAGTTTATTATTCAACCAGGGGTATATAAAATGTTTGTAATATATACGAGTAGTATACAGGGTGTTCCATAATTATTGCGACAAAATGATAGGGGTTGTAGAGGGCATCAAAATGAACAATTTTTCCTTATAAACCCCTGTTCGGAAATATGCCGTTTGGGCTGCAGCAAAAAAAAAAGATCAGTTTCTTGAAACAGCTTACCTACAGTAATTGCTCAAAGTGTCCTCCACCTTGCTCAATACACAGCTGTGCACGATTGTTCAATGATCGGCGAACTCTGTGGCATACCCACGGTATGTCCTGAACATGTGCGGACGCGGCCATCACTCTTCCCAGTAGCTCTTGTTGGTTGGGAACAGGAGTTTCGTACACTAAAGCTTTCAGATAGCTCCAGATAAAATAATCCAGTGGGGTCAGGTCAAGTGACCGCGCAGGCCAAGGCACAGGGCCACCTCGGCCTATCCACCTATTTGGAAATTTGTCGTCCAAATACTGCCGCACTTGTAAAGAAAAGTGGGCTGGACCGCCATGGTGTTGAAACCACATGTTGGCTCTTATATTCAGTGGCACATTTTCTAATAGTTCCGGTAGCACATGCTGTAAGGATCGACCATAAGCATGCCCATCCAAACGTGGTGGAAGCAGATATGGTCCGATGATATGCTCGTCCACAATGCCGCACCAGATGTTAATTGAAAACTGATGTTGGTCTCTATGGATGGCTATGGCATGAGGGTTTTCTTCATCCCAAATGTGACTGTTACGGCTATTAAAATAACCGTCCTTTGTAAAACAGGACTCGTCAGTGAACAAAACGTAGCGACCAAAGTTTGGTTGCCTCAACTCCTGCTGCAGCCACCAACGACAAAAACGTCGACGCGGCAGATAGTCTGCTGGACCCATGGCTTGGACTTTTAAAAGGTGGTACGGGTGTACGATAACAAAAATGTAAACACAGCAGGCTTTTTTTACAAACCGGCGAGACCATGAAATGTGCTAGACGAACATTTTTCAGCTGGTTAATTTTTTGTTTCTCCTATGAGCTCTTAAGGTAAAATTAACTGTAGTGCTCAAACGGCATATTTACGAACAGGGGTTTATAAGGCAAAATTGCATATTTTTATGCCCTCTACAACCCCTATCATTTTGTCGCAATAATTATGGAACACCCTGTATAATAATATCTATAATCCACATTTATAAAAGCTTTTGAAAATCTTTCTTAAAAAAACATTTATTTTAATTTGGTTTATTTTTGCGAAATGCATATCATTAATATGTAACTCCACTTCAGCTAGTCGATCTAGCACACGCTGCGGAGTATTTCGTGACAGAAGGAAATGACGAAGTACTCCTGATGTGGTTGGAGTTGGTATCAGTTCCATACCGACAGATTCTTCATCTTTATTTTCCTTTTCTTCGTCATCATCAGTATCAACTGCCGAACACATAGCAGCTACAACGGCATCATCATCCAGGTATTCGACAGTCACAATTTGGTCGTCAATATGAATAAACTCATTGAAATATTTTTCACTATAAGGAAGATTGGCTCTAATATTGCCTCGAAGGTCGTCTTCCTGTTGAATTTTCTTCATCCACGCAACTAATGGCAGGTCATCGTCGGGATCAACATGATCCTCAACCTCCAAGAAACCCCCCCGCGTAAAACAATTTAATATTGTTTCTTTTGAGACCTTCTGCTATGCCATATGAATGATGCTTATTGCATCCAAAAGATTGATTGAAAACTTTTCCTCGCCGCTATCAATGAAATCTATCATTCTCGAGAGAAGAACTTGATGATAATGACTTTTTAAAATGTGGATTACACCCTGATCCATAGGCTGTAGTTTAGAACTCTTGTTTGGGGGTATGAACACTAGGTTAATACAGTCCAAATTTTTAACATCTGGATGAGCTGGACAATTGTTCACTAATAATATAATTTTTCGTTTTTTGCGGCGTAACTCGACACCCCAATTACGCAGTTCGGTATCAAAAATCTCCGAGGTTACCCATGCTCTTTTATTGGATTTGTAATTAACTGACAACTGTGAAACGTTTTTAAAACATCGACGGTTTGCCACTACAAGCACAGTGATTCTTTCTTTAGATAGTTCCTCACCCTCAGACTTCTCGCCTTTGAATCTTAAGGTACTGTCAGGTGTAAGCTTTTAGAATAACCCAGTTTCATCTGCATTGAATATGTCCTCGTCTTCGAAGTTCCTTCTAAAGATTGGCCACTTGTTCAGCAACCAGTTATTGACACAGTCCATATCAACTGCAGCAGACTCTCTAACAATTTTTCCACTGGGTTTTCTTAGAAATTGCGTCACCCATGATTTCAAGAGTGCAGGACACTGAATACAACGAATAAAGAAGGTATCAGACTAAATGGCGGTGGCTGACGATTGCTCATACCCCACCACGCGGTCGGAAGATTTCGGTTAACTGATTCTGATAAAATCCAGTTTTACGCTCGTTATAACCGAAAAATTTTACGAATATATCAAACATTATAAAACTGTATAAAATCATGAAATATTTACCCACGAAAGAAAATATAGATCATTATAATCAGTATAAAAACAAATTTATAGAACTTTTGAGAAAAGCAAAAAAAAATTACTATATAAAACAATTGAATAATAATTCACATGACTCTAGACACCTATGGTCCACTGTCAATGATATATTCAATAAGTCATCCTATTCAAAAAACAATATTAATGAAATAAAAACAAAAACAGGACAGAAAACAGACAATATTCAGCAAATATGTGATGAGTTCATAGAATTTTTCACGAATATAGGAGGAAACTTATCAAATAATATCAAACAAAATGCTGATATTCATCTGCATGACACAAGACTGAATAATTCATTTGTATTAACTGAAGTAGACTATCAGGATGTTTTCAATGCCATTATGACTCTAAAAAATAAAAAAAGCCCTGGAGTTGACGAAATTAGAGCTGAACATCTAAAGATACTGGCCAAACAAATAACAGAACCACTTGCTTATATTATTAACAAATCCTTCCAATCTGGAGTATTTCCATCAGCTTTCAAGACAGCAATCATCATACCTATCTATAAATCTAATGATAATACGGACGTCACTAACTATCGACCTATTTCACTTATATCAAGCTTAGCTAAAGTTTTTGAGAAATTACTCCTTAATAAAATGATTAATTTTCTTAATAAATTCAAAATTCTAAATTCAAATCAATATGGTTTTATAGCGGGCAAATCTACAACAGATGGGGTATTAAGTATAGTAGATGAAATAACCCAAAATATAGATGGAAAAGTACCATCGATATGCGTATTTGTGGACTTACAAAAAGCGTTTGACACAGTTAACCACAATATACTTTTGGAAATCTTAGAAAGAATAGGTTTTCGTGGAAAGATGTATACTTTAATGGAAAATTATTTATCAAATAGACCGCAATCAGTAAAATTATTAAGCTCGTATAGTAAAGAAATGTTTGTTAAATGTGGTGTTCCACAAGGTACAATTTTGGGTCCCCTGTTATTCAATATTTATTTAAATGATATATTCAAAATTAACAGTACTGGTAAAATAGTCAGTTTTGCAGACGATACTGCTATACTCTATAAAGGTAAGGATTGGAACGACTTAAAAGATATTATCCAAAATGACTTTTGCAAAATTATTCAGTGGTTTAATAACCGAAAATTAACAATTAACTTTACTAAAACTCATTTTTTACCATTTTCATCACTATCTAATCATCTACCAAAATATAACCACCTTCGGTTTAAGGTAAATGATAAAAATATAAAAATCAATAGAGTTAATGATACAAAATATTTAGGAATTTATCTAGATCCCCACTTGAGATGGGATGTACATATTTCTCACATACTTAAGAAAATTAGATTCATAACATATAAAATAAAATTTCTAACCGATATATTAACTGAATATTATCTACGAATAATATATCAAGCTTTAGTCGAACCACACATAACATATGGTATAGTAGTGTGGGGTTCTGCATGCACGACATACTTTAACGATTTAGATGTACTTCAAAGAAGAATTTTAAAATCAATGTTAGGCAAATCAAAATTATACCCAACTAATGACTTATATAATGATGCACAAGTATATGATACTAAACAACTTTACTTCTTACATACCATCACTCATTATCACAAAACTATTAGTGAACACGACACAATTAAACATAATCATAAAACCAGATATAAATTACGCGCAAAAAATGTTCCTAAACCAAACAAATCCCTAATGAAACGATGTCACCTGTATATAGCTCCAAAATTGTACGAACATTTACCAAATAATTTAAAACAATTACGCAATACATTAGGCTTCAAAAAAAAATTAAAAAAATTTATTAACACGATTGGGAGAAATCAAATTAATGAAATAATCTCAAATATTACACATTAAATACTCTACCATTCTTACCAATAATTTATTTTTTCTTTCTATTTTATTATATTTTGCAATTCAACATACATATGATCCATGCACAGGCGTTGTCCTCCTATGGATATATTATATTTATTTACTCGTTTCATGTTCCCTGTATTTTAGAGTAAATAAATATTATTATTATTATTATTATTATTTAGGCCCGTATCGTCAGTCGTCCCTACAATTGTAGGGCGCCTTTATGGCCTCCTTGATTGTCATAGTTTTTTCCACTTCTCCGTGCCAGCGCTCTATTTTGAGGTTATGTCACAAATATCTATTTGCATCAAATTGTGCTTGCTTTTGAGTTATATTATGTTTTATCAGCCTGAAATTTCCTACAATTTAAAAAGAAAACATGTCTTCACAATAGGAGAGCACTGACGCTGACACGGGACAACTGTAATCTAGAAATTTTTGAAGGAGAGAAAGGAGTATGACAATCAAGGAGGCCATAAACGCGCCCTAAAATTGTAGGTACGACTGACGATACGGGCTTTAGGTTCGTTTTATCAGGAGGTTCGTTATATGCGAGAAAAATAGCACATATTTAATATCATTTCAGTCGGTGCCTTATAAAGTAGTTCGTTATAAACGGAAGATCACAATAAACGGGTTTGTTGCAAGCAGACATTACTGTAGTTCGTTTTCGTGTCTTCGTTCAATCCAACTTAAGGAAGACAGTCGAAAATTAAAATGTTCCCTTTTTTATTCATCAAATGTGTGACAAACGTTACCTTATCCTGGTGGATGGCGGCGGCACATTATGCATGGGGCTTTGTCCAGGCATTTCTCTGATGGGTGGCAACCTGTTGACGTGAGGTTTCTCACCCATTGAGGTCGGCCTGCAGTAATCTTGCAGTCGCACTTTCATCGCGTGCTGTTGTGATCTCCGAATCGCCCCAGTTGCTGGTTGCCGCGGATAAGCGCCACCTAGGCAGTGACCGTTGCAACACACACCACCGCCACCTGCGAAAGAAAAATAGCCAAAAGGACATAAAAAGAAAGTCGCGAAAAGCATGACGCTTTCTACGTCCGTATAACATTATGTCACTTATCGCGACTGTGTCACAAGTGCGGTGTAGTTATTTAACGTGCAACTTTTTTTTGTAACCCTAAAGAAGACATCAAATAAATGTGAAGTGAAGTTTATCATTTTATCCCAAAATCCAAAGATTGAGGCAAAACATGTTTCACCTGCTACGATAAGACACAACTTTTGAGATATTTCAATTGCATTTTATGATTCAATATTAATATTAATACCTTTACTACCCTCGGAAGAACATGATGTGGAAGATATTGAAGATCCCCCGCTACTAACACTGTACAAACTGTCAGATTGAGGAACGGAGGACGTTCTAGATGCCATGGAGTAACCGCTCACCGAGTTTGGAAGAATAGGCCCTGTCTGAAAAACAAGGTTATTCAGGGTGTTTCAGTTTATTGTTGCATAACTTTAAGATTCGATAGAACTTTTAAAATAAATGCATAAAGTCTATATAAACATGGGTCGAAAAATGCGTGGCTTCCGAAATACAGGGTGTTTAAATTTGCTTTCTAAAATAGTTTTTTTTAAATATTTCGAACAATATTTGATGTATAAAGGTGAAAATTGGTATACAAGGGTTTTTTGGTACGACAAAACGAACCATGGGCATAGTTTTACTGTAGCCGCTAGAGGGCGCCCTCTACTGTACCTGTAGTGTATTAAAATGACCGAATTTTTTTTCTTAGTGCAATTTTTTGCATTTTGAATAAAAAAACTGAGTCTTCGCACTTTTCAACATAAAAAAGCTCTCTTGTGAATTTTCGTTATAGTTAGCCGTTGTTGAGATATTTCGATTTTTAAGTTTCGATGCATTTTTAATTATTTATGATAAAATAACGTTAAAAAGTCAGTATCTCGATAATTTTTAGAAGTAGGCTGTGCCTGCAAATATTTTTGAAATTGAAAGCAGAATAAGGTTAAACGTCAATTAGTTGATAGATAGTTTTGTTGTCTGTTTAAACCTGAAACGTTGTTTTGCAATTGTGAATGCACGAAATTCAGTTTATTTTACCTTTTTTTTGTAAATTTTATAAAAATACCATTTTTATTCTCCAATCAAGAGTTAGCGTATATTCATTTTGTGTATGGCTTTGTAAATGGAAACGCAGCAGAAGCAGCCAGAGAATACGCACGAAGATTTCCAAACAGACGACATCCACTCGCTCAGTATTTGTAAGAGTGCATCGCCAAATAATTGAAAATGATTTTGGAAATCTCCAAAGGGATCAAAACATAAATGTTCGTCAGCGCAGATTTACCCCTATGATTCTGCGTGAGTTTGATAGAGATCCGACCACAAGTGTTAGGAGAGTTTCTGGTGCCTTGGGAATTTCAGCAAGCCATGTTCACCGTGTTCTTAGAAATGACCATAGACGTCCTTACCATTTGCAACCTGTGCAAGGACTACAGGCAGGGGACGGAGAACGAAGAATCACATTTTGTTAGTGGATTCTTGATAGAACTGATAATAATAGGGAGTTTTTAAGTAACGCTTTATGGACCGATGAGTCATGCTTCACTAGACATGGAGTGGTAAATTTTCATAATCAACATATTTGGTCGCATGAAAATCCGCATGCAGTTCGGGAAAGAAATTTTCAGCATGAATTTAGTGTGAACGTGTGGATTGGTATCTACCGTAATCGACTATTTGGACCCTACCTTTTGCCTGCAAGGTTAAATGCTGCGACCTTCTTGGAATTTTTAAAGGCTGAACATGCAAATATGTGGGATGAGGTTATGTTAGATTTAAGAAGATTGGCCTGGTTCCAGCTTGATGGTTGTCCAGCTCATTATTCGAGAATAGTTAGAAACTGGCTGGACGAAAATTATCCAGAAAGAAGGATCGGCTGTGGAGGACCAGTCGCCTGGCCTCCACGATCCCCTGACCTAAATTCATTAGATTTCTTTGTGTGGGGATTTCTAAAAGGAAAAGTGTACCAGACTCCCGTAACCACAAGAGATATGCTAATAGACAGAATCAGAAATGCATGTGATGAAATAAGGCCTTATTTGAATAATGCTATACCACGTTCGATCATTCGTAGTGTGAATTGTGTATTGAACAATTGGGTTTACATTTCGAGCAACTACTTTAGATTTTGTATGTTTGTCCTAACTATCCAAAAGCATTTTAGTTGTAAATAATTAATTTAATTTGTTAAAAATAATATTGGAAAATTAAACAAATTAATAGTCTGTTTTTTGTGTTTATTTGGAGTTAGGAATTATTGCTGTGTTTAAAAACACAATCTAAACGATCATCTTAATTACTTGTAATGCCCAAATCGAAAATGTAAAAAAAATATTATTTTCAAATAAATAATTAAAAATGCATCGAACCTTAAAAATCGAAATATCTCAAAAACGGCTAACTATAACGAAAACTCACAGGAGAGCTTTTTTATGTTGAAAAGTGCGAAGAATCAGTTTTTTTATTCGAAAAGCAAAAAATTGCACTAAGAAAAAATTTTCGGTCATTTTAATACACTACAGGTACAGTTGAGAGCGCCCTCTAGCGGCTACAGTAAAACTATGCCCATGATTTGTCATACCAAAAAACCCTTGTATACCAATTTTCAGTGTTATACATCAAATAATGTTCGAAGTATTTAAATAAAACTATTTTAGAAAGTAAATTTAAACACCCTGTATTTCGGAAGCCACGCATTTTTCGACCCATGTTTATATAGACTTTATGCATTAATTTTGAAAGGTATATCGAATCGTAAAGTTATGCAACAATAAACTGAAACACCCTGTATAGTTGTAGTCAACGTTCTTGGCGGGTCAAAGTAAGACTCCCAGTATCCCTTTATACAGGGTGTCCCTTAATGATATAAACTGGTTGTTAAATATTTTGATAGATATGGAAGTTATAAGCTTGATTTTTATTAAGGCGACACAGATTTAGTAGCTCGAGTTTAAAAGCATCATCATCAAAATGTAGTTTTTGTCTAGCAGTAATTTGTTTAGTCGCATTTCACTTCAGGAAGAATTGAGCATTTCTATTATTGAAGATGGTTCTTCTAAAGCTCTCATAAGCTTGTCACATGTCCACATCCAATGTTAAATGTTCCATCAAGTTAGAAAATGGATGTGTTATTTTGTATTATATCAAATGGCGTAGCATACTCTATCCATGTTTATGTACTAGATTAGAAGATTTTTGAGAATATACGATTTGTAAATAATTATGAATCGGTTTCCCTCAGATAGGAAAATTAAGATCCGCCCATAGTTGGGAGACTCGATCTGTTTACTTACTTCATAAGGCGCTGATGACGTACTCGTCAAAAACGGTGACTACAATTATAGTACAGTTTTTGACTAATACTGTAAAAAAGGACACAAAATAAATGGGATATACATAAAACTTGTACTATTTGAACTAAATGCCTAAGTGCATGACTGAGGACTTACAATGAGTTATAAAAGTCACATAGTGTACGAATTCTTATTTATAAAAAAGACAAGAAATATCAAAAATTATCATGAAGATTTGAAAATTCCTCAGCCTAGGAATTCTACCTACCTTGAGGCGTAGTATTTTTGCTCTGCAAATCACACATCGTAATGGTAACAGTCTCTGCGATACAGCTATCTGGATGGTTTTCACGAAACACTTCCTGCACACCACCTGATGTCCACATGGAGCAGTCTGCATGGTAGCCTTGGCATGTATGCAGATCACACACTGAAAAAAGGTGGTTGCGTAGTTTAGAGAAATGTTTTGAGACTGTTAATCATTGATTATTGATCTGTCTGTATTGGTGATATTTGGTTTCATGGCTATTCGGATTAAAGAAGCATGGAAAGGCACCAAAGAAGGTAAGCTTATAGACGACATTCTGTAGTTTCACTGTTTTTGAACGTTGTGGTATATTTTGCATCATATTCCCTGTCGTTAATCTCTTGTATGACCAATGAATCGTCTGAGGAATTGAAAGAGTATAAATACGTGTTTACCTCTTCTTCTTGACATGTTGCTAATTCTGGTTCATTCTCCTCTAGTTTGCTCAGTAGTTTTTCCTGAAACAATAAAAACCTAAAGTTAATTTTTCTTAAGTGTCATTGTTCCATCGAAATCAACAGTAACAGATCATCCCACTGTTTTCTTGATGGCAACAATGAGGATACTGTATAAGACAGACAAGATCTTGGGACACCTATCCACAGTTTTGAAGACATAAATGTTGAACAAAATGTTCAAGAAATTTTGCGTGTCTGCAGTCTTGACCAAATCCTGTTAGGTAAGTCAGGTGTTTTTATTTGAATAGGCAAAACCATTTACAGTCATTCTCAGCCTAAAAAGTATTGTCTTGTCGGCCATTCTTGCCCGAAGTGTGAGATTCTCCAGAAGCGGCAAACTCGCTAAAACTTCTCAGTTGTTCGCCAGACATCCCACCGCGGTAATGATTGCAGCATTTCTTCACAGTGGGTAGCGTTACGAAAGGTATTAGTCATCTACTCTCTATCGTACATTTAGGTACATTCGTACCTATGTACACGTACAACTGAGCAAGCAGGAACCTACTAGTGATCCCTTGATCTATTTTTGATCTTATATGCATACCTTGCTCAGCATCATCCGCCTCCCTATTGGTTGACTATCAACCCATTTGCCCTCGTTTACATGCGTGGCAAAATTGTCAGCAGTGAGTCTCTCGCCGAGCGTCAGTTCCAGCTGTGTCTGGAGGTCAACGCATCGACCATATTCGAGTAGGTGATTAGGAGTATTCCTTTCGGTGCAATATACGCAGCATACAATACTCTCTCTTTTCTACACGCTTTAGATAGTTGCTAAAACAACGATGGCCTGGGGAGAACTGTCAAGTACCGTTATTCTGTTTACACCGCTACCTTGTTAATCCAAGTTTTAATATCTGAAATCGTCCTACCATTGCCAGTTGCATTCCATCTCTCTTGCCATCTGACAAGAGGAGCCTCTATTTCGTCGCTTCTATCTTCAACGCTCTTTTTGAATAGCCAGCAAATTAACTGGTGGGATACCAGCCACCACTAGGAGTGCACCGTTCTGTAAGCTCATTTGCGAAGCACTACTTTTCGCTGTTAGCGAGGGGCTTGTTATAGATAGCAGTTCAGTACAGCATAATCGAGTTTGCCACCCCTGCCAAAATCGGTTCTGTAGATCACGAATCTAATGTCAGTTTATATAAGTTCAAACCGATTCGTGCAGACACAGTATTCAGGCATTTAGATAACAGTATACAAACTACTAGTCACGCTATTTGATCTGATTTTTACAGTATTCAAGTTCATCGTATATACAGACAACCTCGATTTATATGTGTTTCCATGGTCAGTATATTTAAATTCCCAAATGTGTCAATAATTAACACTTTTTTCCGATAACTCTTGTTTAACAAAAGTTAAAATATTCCTGCAAACTGGTTTGGCGGACATTAGGCAGTGAAACATTTTATGCATCAGGTGAAATCAATAAATTCTACAGATTAGTGAATCTGAGTATCTCCCACATATCCAGTGCACAATTGACGTCAATACCAGAGGATGACTTCATAGCACATTTTTATTTTGATATTGTGTAAGAAATATGCTTTGTTATAATTAGAGCTTCGTATGATGAGCTTAAGTTTCAGATTTTGACTCCAACACCTTGTAGGTGTTTCGCTATCTTCACTTTACCAATTTCAGATTATTCCTAAGTTAGACTAATCTAAGTTTTCATATTTATAGCTCAAATACTTGATTATCGAAATAAATTTCTTCCGATAGGAATGGTCCGAAAAAATTCACAAGAGAGGCAATTCATGTGAAATTATATGCCTCATTTAAAATTGCATAAGATGCTTGAAAAAGTGTAATAAATTTATAATTCTTGTGGGCTTTTACTCCCATAGAAAGACTCCTTTATTCTTTATGATTAACTCTATTCTATCATCAATCCTTGCTAATACCAGCATCATACTACACCTTCCCCGATAGTCAAAAAATTTTATTCACAAAGAACTGAAAATTCTGCTCCCTTTTCCCAAAATGTATTTGTTTATGGGTAATACTGCGTCCACACATGGACGGGCCACGCTATATATATATACATATTTATAAAATACAATTCCTAATTGCTATAAAATATATCATGAAAACTAAAATGAATATAAGAAATAAGATAGAGAGAGAGAGAGAGAGAGGAAAAGAACAGAATAGTTTAGAATACACCATAGAAAAGTTGGGCACATTAAATACTTAACTAAGTACCTATATCTAGTTTATATCGCCTTGATTACTTACTATGATTATGAGTATGGCGCTTTGTTCTATTTTTATGAACTAATATCTCCCTATTTTCCTTTACAATTTTTACCTTAGGAGATATGTCTTCTGCGACTAAATATGGACCCGAAAAACAAGGACTTGTTTTATCCCCAGTTTCATTCTTAACTAAAAGTGTATCCCCTTTTTTATAAGCTGTAGGTTTAGCTGTCTTGTCATAAGCCACTTTTCTGTCCTGTTTCTGTTTTATTAAAGGAGGTGGGCGATAACTGCCAGTTTTCGCCCATGATCGAATAGATATGAGATATACATTTATGAAGAGTATAATCTTAAATATAAATAATAATAAAGGATAATCAGATAATGACTATCCGACCATCCTTCAGTTTCATCAGAGGTACCTGTTGTCCTCACAGAAGATGAGTCTTTTGAGATTGAGCCACGCGGAATGCATAATATGATCTGCATATAGGACACAACTTAGAACCAATCTGCAGATTTTCGTGGCAGAATTACGTCAGTAGCATTACTTGTGACACACCAATGCCCAAAGTATGGAAAAAGGTGAGAAGCATTTCTGGAGCTAAGACATACTCACCAATAAGATGTCTAAAAGACGGTGAAAACACTGTCACTGAAAGTCATCAAATATCAGAAATATTATCCAAGAAATATTACTCCAACTACAGCAATGGAAACTACTGTTCAGATTTTACGAACTACAAACTAAATGCAGAATCAGTGATAATCTCCCTAGAAGATAACAGCGATCCAATTAACCTACCCATTACAGAATTAGAGTTCTTGGATGCACTCAACGACCTGAAAGATACTGCTGCAGGACCAGATGACATTCCGCCTATTTTTCTAAAGAAACTTCCCCCGTCTGGTCATAAACGCTCATTACACATATTCAACACCATCTGGGCAACGAACGTTTTCCCCAAAATAACAATAACAGTTTCTATCCTGAAGTCTAATAAATCTCCCCAGCTACCAGAATCGTACAGGCCTATATCACTAACCTGCTGTATGTGCAAGCTTCTTGAGAAAATAATTAACCGGAGGCTAATGTGGAGTCTCGAACATAAAAACCTATTAGCCTACCAACAAGCTGGTTTCAGATCAAATAGATCTACTATAGATAATATAATAGACTTAGAAACCCACATCCATGAAGCATTGTCGGACAATCAACATTGTATGGCAATTTACTTTGATATCAACAAAGCGTTTGATACAGCCTGGAAATACAACATCATTTCTAAACTCCATAAATGGGGATACAATGGAAACATTCTATCCTTCATTTCCAACTTCCTCGACAACAGATATTTCCAAGTACGAACAAATGGTGTAATGTCGGAACAAAAACAACATATCAACGGAATACCTCAAGGCTCTATTATTAGTCCAACTCTATATCTTATAGCACTTAACGACGTTCTAAGAGATATCGAACTACCTCTTCAGGCCCGTCTATACGCGGACGATATGATCGTATTTGTGAGGGGAAAGAACTTGACAACAAATGCATCGTTACTACAACATTACCTGAATAATCTGGAATACTGGTCTAAGTAGACAGGATTTACCTTTTCAACAGAGAAAACAACTTGCATCATTTTCTCGAAAAGGCCTGTGCGTGACAAGCCCACTTTAAAGTTGTGCAATAAGATTCTAAAGTACACCAGCGACATCAAATTCTTGGGAATCACATTTGATAATCGACTTAATTGGAAGAAACATATAACAGATGCCATTCAGTCTTGTCAAGCAGGGATCAACATGCTAAAGTACCTATCAAACACTGGGGGGCTGAAAGTAAGACACTGCTTACTATATATAGAGCACTTGTAAGATCCAAGATTGACTCGCGTACAACTCAGCAAGACCTTCAGTTGTCAAACCTTTAAACGTGCTTCACAATACTGCGCTGCGATTAATATTAGGAGCATACAGAACCACACCGGTAGACAGTCTGTACTGTGAATCGGGAGAAGCACCATTACACATAAGACGTCAGATAATGAGCCTCACATATTTTAATAAGAAAATCGCAAATATCAATACATCAGCCCATAAATATTTAGCCACTACAAGATCCTATAGGAATAGCATAACAGGTACTCCTTTTCACAGCAGAACCAGAGTCTACTTAAGAAGTCTCGACATCCAGAACGTACCGTCAACACTTACTACTGTCACCGATACCATCCCGCCTTGGATTATATGTCAACCAGTTACCAATACAACACTCACCAAGTTCAACAAAACCGAAACACCCAATGAAGTTATATACCAGAATTTCTGTAATATCATAAGTGACTATCCAGGGTCAAAACAAATACACTGATGCTTCAAAAACAAAGCAAAGCCTAGGAGCAGCAGTCATCACTCCCACATCCACAATAAAACTGAAGCTCTCAGCAGCAGCATCCATACTGACGGGTGAGCTTTACGCAATCAGAGAAGCTGTCCAGTTTATCAAAAACAGTCCTTGTCAGAGGTGGGTAATAATTACAGACTCCTTAAATTCAATCGAGTCCATAAACAAACTGAATACCGAAAATCCACTGGTCAACCTAATCAAGGAGAAAATACACCGGAACTTACTTCTAAACAAGGAGATAACTCTATTATGGGTTCCCTCACATAAATCCATGTTGGGCAACGAAATGGCGGACAGGGGCGCAAGATCAGCGGCGGACGCCAAAATGCAGACAATACAAAAGATTCCTGTTTCCGATATCAAGACATACTTCCACAACATG